CAAGCACATGGAGGCTAAATAGCATGTTATAGAACAATGAATGGGTTACCAAAGAGATCAAGAAACAAATAAAAACGTCCTGGAAATAAATGAAAGTGAACTCACAACAGCCCCAAATCCAGGGGACACATTGAAAGCAGTCCTGAGAGGTAAGTTCATAGCACTACAGGCCCACCTCAAAAAACAAGAAAAACTTCTAATAGATTCTCTAACCCTACAACTTAAAGACTTAGAAAGAGAACAACAGGAAAAGCCCAGGGTAAGTAGAAGGAAGGAAATAATAAAGATCAGAGCAGAAATAAATGACATAGAGACTAAAAAAAGCAATACAAAAGATCAATGAAACCAAGAGCTGGTTCTTTGAAAAGATAAATAAGATTGATGGGCCTTTAGCCAGACTCATCAAGAAACAAAGAGAGAGGACCCAAATAAACAAAACCAGAAATGACAAAATCCAACACCCATTTTTGATAAAAACTCTCAGCAAAATGGGAATAGAGGGAACATACCTCAACATAATAAAGGCCATCTATGAAAAACCTACAGCCAACATCATACTCAATGGGCAAAAACCAAAACCATTTCCCCTAAGAACAGGAACAAGACAGGAGTGTCTACTTTCACCACTCTTATTCAACATTGTACTGGAAGTCCTGGCCACAGCAATCAGAAAGTAAGAAAACATAAAAGGCATCCAAATTGGAAAGGAGGAAGTAAAACTGTCATTATTTGCAGATGACATGATATTGTACGTAGAAAATCCTAAAGACTCCACCAAAAAGCTACTAGATTTAATAAATGAATTCGGCAAGGTAGTGGGATACAAAATTAACACCCAGAAATTGATGGTATTTTTATACAGCAATAATGTACTCTCAGACAGAGAAACTAAAAAAAATCCCATCTACCAATGAAACAAAAAATTAAGATATTTAGGAATAAGCCCGGCCGGGCGTGGCTCAGTGGTTGAGCGTTGACCTGGGATCCAGGAGATCAGGGTTCGATTCCCTGTCAGGGCACATGCCCGGGTTGCGGGCTTGATCAATGACTCTCTCATCATTGATGTTTCTCTCTCTCTCTCCCTCTCCTTTCCTCTCTCTGAAATCAATAAGAATATATTAAAAAAAAAGAAAAAAGATATTTAGGAATAAACTTAACCAAGTTGGTAAAAGACCTGTACTCAGAAAACTACAGGACACTGCAAAAACAGATAGAGGAAGATATAAACAAGTGGAAGAATAAACCATGTTCATGGATTGTAAGAATCAACATCATTATAATGTCCATAATACCCAAAACAATCTATAAATTCAATGAAGTCCCTATTAAAATACCAACAGCATATTTCACAGATCTAGAACAAACACTTCAAAAATTTATTAGAACCAAAAAAGACCCCGAACAGCCATGGCAGCCTTGGGAAGGAAGAACGAAGTTGGTGGGATCACAATACCAGATATCAACTTATACTACAAAGCCACTGTAATCAAAACAGCCTGGTACTGGCACAAGAACAGACATATAGGTCATTGGAACAGAACAGAGAACCCAGAAATTGACCCCCAAGCCTTGCGCTCAGTTAATATTTGACAAAGGAGACAAGAACATACAATGGAGTAAAGATAGTCTCTTCAAAAAATGGTGCTGGGAAAATTGGACAAGAACATGCAAAAAAAACAAAACTAGACCATCAACTTACACTGTACACAAAAATGAACTCAAAATGGGTAAAAGACTTAAATGTAAAACATGAAACCATAAAAATCATAGAAGACAATGTAGGCAGCAAAGTCTCAGACATCTCTCGTAGCAATATATTTGCCAATACATCTCCTAGGACAAGAGAAACAAAGAAGAAAATAAACAAATAGGACTGCATCAAAAAAAAAGCTTCTGCACAGCAAAAGAAACCATCAACAAAACGAAAAGGGAGCCCACTGTATGGGAGAACATCTGATAAACAGTTAATATCCAAAACATATAAGGAACTCATACAACTTAACAAAAGGAAGACAAACAANACTCAGCAAGAGGAAGACAAACAACCCAATTAAGAAATGGGCAAAGGACCTGAATAGACACTTCTCCAAAGAGGACATACAGATGGCCAAGAGACATGAAAAAATGCTCAACATCACTAATCATCAGTCAGATGCAAATTAAAACCACAATGAGGTATCACTTCACACCTGTCAGAATGGCTCCATCAACAAATCAACAAAGGACAAGTGCTGGTGAGTGTGTGGAGAAAAGGGAACCCTAGTGCACTGCTGGTGGGAATGCAGACTGGGGCAGCCACTATGGAAAACTGTACGGAATTTCCTCAAAAAATTAAAAACTGAACTGCCATTTGACCCAGTGACCCCACTTCTAGGAATATATCTTAAGAAACCTGAAACACCAATCAGAAAGAACTTATGCACACCTGTGTTCATAGCAGCACAATTTACAATAGCTAGGATCTGGAAACAGGTGCCCATCAGGATGAGTGGATAAAAAAGCTGTGGGACATTTACATGGTGGAATACTATGCAGCTGTAAAGAAGGATGTTACCCTTTGGAACAGCATGGATGGAACTGGAGAGTATTATACTTAGCGAAATAAGCCAGTCAGAGAAAGACAGGTACCACATGATTTCACTCATATGTGGAATAAACAAAATAAACTGATGAACAAAAAGATCCAGAGACACAGAAGCATGGAACAAACTGTGGGATCTCAGTGGGAAGGTGGGGGTGGGGGAATGGATGGGGAGAGAGTAATGAAAGAACTTACATGCTTATATGCATATATGCTTAACTTATGGACACAGGCATTGGTACAGGCAAGGTCTGGGGGTGGGGTGGATGCAGGGTGGAGGGGATCGATGGCGGAAAAAGGGGGACATCTGTAATACTTTCAACACTAAAGATAAAAAAAGAAAAAGAAAAAGAAAAGAAAAATGGCAAAGGATAGCTAATGGTGGATTTCATTTGCTTTCCCGGATGACTAATAAGGGTGAGCATCTTTTCAGGTATTCATTAGTCCTCTCACTACATCACTGGTCACGTTCACATTCACCCATGTCTCCCTTAAGTTGATTTTTGCTTATTTGGAGTTCTTTAAATATGCTGTTTACTTGAGATACCACTACACTCCATTAAAATGGCTAAAATTAAAGTGACTGACTGTGTCAAGTGTTGTTAAAGAAGTAGAGCAACTTCATTTCATACACAATTAAAAGGGATGTAAAACTGCACAACCACTTCAGAAAACAGTTAAGCAGTGTCTCAGAAAGTTAAAATACACCTACCATATGATCTAGCAATTCAACTGCTAGGTATTTACTGAAGAGAAATGAAAGCATAAATCCATACAAAGAAGCTTTACTTGTAAAAGCAAAAGACTAGAATAGTCCAAATGTCCATCAGTGGGCAGATGAATAAACAAACTATGGGACGGAATGCTTAGCAATAAAAAGGAATGAGCTATTGACAAACACTACGACATGGGTGGATCTCCAAATAATTATCTAAGTAAAATAAGGCAGCCCAACCCCAACATGTACACATTATAAAATTCTCTTCGTATATATCTAACAGGTGCAAACTAATCAATAGCAAGAGAAAGTAGTTCTCTGTTTGCCTGGGGTGAGGAGACGTAGGGAAGGGCAAGAAGTAGAGATTACCAAGCGACAGGAAGGAACTTTTGGGGGTGATGAACATGTTTATTATTTGCTGGTGGTTTCACAGGTGCCAAAACTAATAAAATAGTAAATATGCTCAGTTTACTGTATGTCAACTTAGCAGACTGTAAACTTTAAATATGTATAGTTTATTTTTTGTCATTTATACCTCATAAAACTGTTCTTTTAAAAAACTCCCAAGAATAAGAGCTTGCTTAGCTTCTGTCTTCTAAACATTTCTAAATTGGAGGTCATAATTAAGAGAAACCTCCAAACTTTCTCTTTATAGCTTTCTTAAAAACAAACAAAATATTATCTCAAGGAAGTTAGAAATAACTGGAAGGGGATGCATTACAAACAAAAATTTTCTTAGAAAAATAATCAAGGGCAAGTGACTCAAGTGAGTCCAGCTCTTAAGAATACAGTTCATCCTCCATGAAATTCACTATCATTACTTTTGCTGTTGACAGTAGTAATCAATATATAAATACGTAAAATTTTCTCTGGGCTCACTCACATGGTTAAGAATCCTGCCCCACATGGATGGACCTAGAAGGTATTATGCTAAGTGAAATAGGTCAGTCAGAGAAACACAAATACCATATGATGTCACTTATATGTGTAATCTAAAGATCAGAATAAACTAATAAAATTAAACCTTCATAGATACAGAGAACAGATGGTAGCCTGAGGGGAGGGGAGTTGGGGGACTGGGTGAAAAAGGTGAAAGAATTAAGAAGTACAAATTGTAGTCACAAAATAGTCACAGAGACGGAGAGTACAGCATAGGGAATGCAGTCAATAATATTCTACTGCTTATGCATGGTGTCAGGGGTACTAGACCTACTGAGGTGATTGCTCCATAAGTTATATAGAAGTCTAACCACTGTGCTGTACACCTGAAACTGATATAATATTGAATGTTAACCATAACTGAAGAAAAATTTTTAATGAAATAAATAAAATGAGAAAAGAAAAAAAAGGGAATATTGCCCCATCATTCAAGTCTGACCTAATGACAATACAGTTATACAAGGACACTAATCAGTCTGTACACCTTCTCACCACTGGTGAATGACTTGATCTTACTTTGTTATCATTCTTATCACAGTATATCGTCATTTTTTTCTTTCTCTAGCTAATTCTATTTTCATATCTTCCTGCTCCTCACATGAATGAACCAGTAAATCCATAAGTTCTACCTCACTATGGACCTGAACCATTAAGCTACAACTTAGACCAAAAAATGTAGACACAGCCAGCATTAATGATTTCAGGATGATGGTCATTATTGACTATTTAAGCCCCCAAAGACAAAGGCATTTGAGTACTTACCATCTCCAAAAAGATGGGTCACAAGCCTCGTAAGTGTTTGCTTAAGGTCAAACTCCAGGAGCTTCAAGGCCTCCATGGTATGTGTCTCTTGTTTACGGGCAGAGCGAGAACTTTGTTCAAAGAGCTGCAGACTTTCTCCATCCTTTACGCCAGCAAATAACTGTAAATTAAAAGGAGTAATAAAAATAGTATCCTGGTCAGTCTGTATCAAAAAACATAACATGGGAATAAAACCCATTGTCTTATAGCCAATGAACATATAAAATTTACATTATTTTAGTACTGACTTTGAACAAAAGCACTATGCTACAATGTTTAGGGAATGGACAGTGTTTAGGGAATTAAAAGATACTGTTCTGATTTTGCTAGTCTCTCATTTTACTTTTGTGTTCACTTACTGTATAGTCATTTCCTCACAAGAGACACTGTCCTCAATGTTAGTGGAAATACCAGTGAATCAGGCTTTAAGACTCTAAAACTATATTCCTGACCATCCCAGTGTCCTTAGAGTGTGTCCTGAGACTCGGTAGAAAGTATAGTGTATGAAGTAAAGTCCATGAAGGCAGGAAGTATACTGGACTTTGCTAACCCCTTATCTCCAAAGCCCAGGACCAGGCCTGAAGCATATTTCTGCCACTTACCTCAGGTAAACTCCAGCAAGTGACATGGTAGCTAAGCCTCAGGTAATGCTTTGTAAAGTAGTAATAATAACACCTAATTAAGACAATTTATAATAATTAAATAAAATAATGCATGAAAAGTTTAGAGTACCTGGCACATTATAATGGGTAAATAAATTTTCCTCATTATCATCATAATCATAATTATTAATGACAGCTATTATGATTCATAAGCTTCTTTACCAATAAAATAATGTCCTATTTTTAACAACAGAGCAGATCTTTACCTGCTAGGAAACAGACTCAAGAAGAACTGAGCAAATAATCTACTAGTCTTTCTACCTAATGTCTCATGAAATAAAATTTAAAAATTTTAAATAAAGTAATGAATTAACTGTTGTTTCTAGTAATACTGGGCTGGATAATTAAACAAAACCTCCCGATAAATCTACTAAAAATTACAAAAATTCTTAAAAGCATTGAAGAAGTAACATAATAGAGAGAAAGCACAAAGCCAGAGAGAAATACTGAGAATGTGTGCCTAGCCGATGCACCAACTGAAAACTTAATACTGGCTGTGACCGCTGCCACAGCGTGAGACCAAAGTAAAAGTCCACAGTGTCTGACCAAGTTGGGTGTCAGATAAACAGCCCTAAAGGACTTATTCTCACGATAAGGATGAATAGAAAAGTAAACCAGTTCTTGTATAGACTTGTAGTCAAGTGTCACATTAGCTGGGCACACAGAGAGAACCTCAGGCTGTGAAAACGAAACTCAGGCAATTGTAGAGTAGCAATTCCTTTAAGTGTCCAGCAAAATCAAACGTATCATAATTCTAGGAGCCTACATTTGCTCTACAGGCTTCAGTTATTCATTACGGCCAACATAGTTTTAGAAGATCAATCAGAAGCACTGGCATGTCTGTGCAAGTACAGAAAACATACCAAAAATACTAGGAGAGTATGAGGATGGTTGAAGGAACAAATCCAAAACATGGCGATGTTTCCCAAAGAACAGCACACATTCTATTAAGATCTAGAGAGGCATAGAGGTAAATCCTTTATTTTAACAATTCTGTATTAACTTAATTGTACACTAGAGAAATATCCCATATCAAACACATAATTAACTGATAGTATAGCTTAAGACAATGCTAAGTAAAAGATTGTTTGAAAAAAACTATTGACATCTAATAGACTATGCAACACGTAGATACATCTGAAAAATACCTGTAACATACACTAAAGTTTAGAAAACTGTGCACAATACAACACAGAAGAACAAGACCATGAAAACAAGTAAACTATTATGTCTAGAGGAAATATATATTAGAACTGGAAGGGACTGTAGAAATCAACTAAGTCAACCCCAAATAAGGAAGTGAAATCCAGAGAGGTGACAATCCAAAGAGGCTAAGACCACTTAGCCATTTAGTCCCCAAGCTGGGACTAAAAAAACATCCCATCTTTGATTCCAAGGAAATTTAAGTGGCTGCTTCACACTTAGCTTTATGTTTGAGATACATCCACTGTTGATGAAATTAAATTAGATGTCCATTGAATGGATACAACAGGCTGTGTCACTGGCTTTTCCACTAGGATTTCTTCTATTTCTCTGACATTTTCTCAAGTGTCCCTGCACAAACCCAAATGAGCACAAATCCCATCCCTATTGCAACTGCTTACAGAGCCAGGCAAGCAGCTCTCAAATGAGAAAAAGCAGGTGCAAGAAATTAATTCTAATCAGGCTTAAAAATAAAAGCAGATGGAAATTTAGAATGCCAAAACAAATTTTCAAATGGCCCAGATTTTAAAAAGACATTTTAAAAGCAAATAAAAAAGCAAATGGCCAGAAGAATAATATACATCTATGTAAAATCCTATGAGTGGCCAGGTGTAAGTGGGGCTCGGATTAGAGCAAAATTCCAAGGAGTAACTTAGGACTTCCCAAAGCAGTCATTTTTCTATTCGGCCATTTTAAAGTATCCATTGGTCTCTGGTTTGATCTATACAACCTGCCCCACATATGAATGCTCAGTACTTACCTAGCCTGTCTCTCTGACTTCCTGGGACAGGTGAAATGGCCCTGTAACAGACCTTGCTGCCACCGCTGTTGCTGCTTGCGCTGCCGTGGCTAACAATGATCGTTTACCACATTTGATGCCTTATTGGGTGCTCACCTTGCTTACAACATGGTTTTATTTAATCCTCACAATCCTTATTATTTCCCCATTTCTCGAATAAGAAACCTGGGGTTTAGGGAAGTTAAAACTTGACTATGACACAATAAGTTGTAGAGCCTGAATTCAACGCCAAATCTGACTCACAACTGCGTCTTCAAGGCCCCACGGTTACTTCCAGGACAGCAGATAGGTCTTTGGCTTCAGTGTAGGAACGACCTACAGTCAGACGGATGGGATTAAAAACTGAACATAAAACATGGAGAGAGAGGCAGTGCCGTGGTTTCGTACACTGAGACTGCTTTCGGCACCCTAGATAACGTAGTGATGGTTTACCCTAATTATTATTGTGCAAGGTAAATAAACCCTTCAAAAATTATAATTAAGGTGTGCTTTTCAAATAGTCACAGCAATGTTCTGCATCATTAACAGGAAGGCACTGTGGCAGAGGCCGCATGGGGCCTCGGGAGGCTGATACTTCTGTGCTGCCTATTATGACACCAGCAATTGACACAGGTTATCTCAGTCCTTCCCTCCTTAACTAGAGGAAAGAGGAGAGCCAAAGGGAAGCAGTAGAAATGTAGAAAAGGAATGCCTGGAAGTTGAACAAATAAATACTCTTCACACAGATAAGAAAGCAGTAGAAACATTGCTCAAACCCAAAAGCGGTTCAGAAGAAACCCTCCAGAGGGGAAGACATGAGCTTCTGATATTGCTGTTCATTTTCTAAAGATCTAAAAGGTGGCACTGCATAGAAAAGGATCAGGATAAAAGCGTAATTTAAGTAGCCCCTGTGGTGGTTGGGAGCTCATAAAAGGCAAGGTCCTTCAGGGGTACCTAACAGGAGTTTTTAAGCATGTGAGATGCACAGGAGCACAACTTCATTGCATTTTAACTTAATCTTCGCTGATGAAATAATCCCGGCTTCCAGCCTGAGCTATCTGGGCCTGGGCAACAGGGCTGAGGGCTAGCCTAACCTCACAGTGAGAGAGAAATCACGCTTGCTTCCTCAATAAGCTAAACAAAGGAAGGACTGGAACAAGAATTGTGGGAGCAGCGTCAAGACAACATTTAGAACGGTAAGTTAGAAATAAAATAATGTTTGCAAGTTACAAAGCATTTCTACATATAACATCCAAGCAAATATGATAAGGTCACTTCAGCCTTTGAAATTTTAACCAGTTGGTAAGCCAATCAGCCGCACTCTATCACCAATTCAGTTAATTTAAGGCTCATAAGGCAATCTTTGCCTGAGGTAATGGGGCAGCCTTTAGCAGCATACTTGCTCTGAGCAGTACCCAATGCAAGTATAAGTAACATGAGTAGTGAAGAGACAATCAAAGATAATGTTAATGGAAAAATACTGCTGGGTAACATAGCCAATCAATATAGTGTCAGTAGACAGGTTGAGTACAAGAAAGAAATGAGGTCATAACTATGAATTCAGACAGTGCAAACCAGCATTTTAATAAAGAACCGGGGGGGG